GATGTGTATAAGAGACAGGATAAGGACATTCCACGTATTTGAGTGAGACCAAAAGATATTGTAAGAAGTTCATTTAGAGATATCACTGACACTGAAAAGTCTGCTTTATCGACTTCGTACAAATTTGGCCGACCTTTCAGCATCCTCTTAAGGGCTCTTCCTAGTCAGCCACGAACTCCGCGTTTACGGTGACGATGCTATATCACGGTAGTAATTAGAAGCTTCTTGTCGTATATTAGGCCCGTCCTATAATACGTCACACATCGGTGTTTTAAGTCATAAACCGTGATAATTCTACAAAATAATTGTACGCCAATTTCGTAAGCAGTGTAAAATTGATCAATCACAGTCGAATATGAAGAGAATATTCGACAAGAAAATAACGGACCTATTGCGAAAAGTATTGATAACGAATTTTGTGTTGCGTGCCATTTCGTTATGTGCTTAATTGTGAAAATGTGACTTGTCTCGTATTTATCAAAGTAAAAATGGATGGAAACTATAGTTGTTGTCGAATTTTATACGTAAAAGTATCTTTTCCTTTCAACAGCTGTTAAATCGTAAGTTTTCTTGCTTGAATAAGCTTTACTTTACGTGCCTTTTACGACTATTTACTGACTTTCAGGGGGGAAAAGGATAGTTTCCATCCATTTTTACAAGTTTTCTAAAACGATCCTACTTATTAATTTTATCCAAATCCTCTTTATTTAAAAATGGCACGCAACAAACTTTTACGTGCATTTCTCGCTTCTGACGTCCAATATGGCCGCGGTGACTAGGAAGGGCCCTTAAGATAAATTGATAGATGATAAATTTAGATAAGAAATTTTTTCTAAGAACAAGATAAAATATAAAAAAAATATAAATATAAAAAAAACTTTTGATTCACAATGTAAATTCAAAAACATAATAATAACCTCCTTTATAATAATAACTTCTAATCATAGATAAGACCACAAATCAAATTTGTAAATAACATCTGCTTCTCAGAAAAAATAATAATAAAAGAATCCGATTAAAATTTTTGTTACACATCGAATTTAAGTGAAACAGAGAGCGAGTAGGAAGAGGAGCAGGAGAAAGAATTCAAGAGAGAGGTGGAAATGGAATTGGAAGCGGACGAGAGAGAAGCTGAACTGGATGGTACAGAATACGTTGAAGCTGATAGCGACGATGATGACTACGATGAGGACGATGATGACGACCTCGAAGAGCTTTCTATGGTAAGTGGGTGAAATAATTATTCGCTGAAATACAAATTCTTCACAAAAATACTTCAATAATGTTTCTTCATAAATACAATTAAAAATGTTGCGTAAGATGAAGATAGAGACTCTGGACAGAAAGAAGAGATTGAATTGTCGGACAGCTTTGAGTCCGAAGTGTAAGTAAAGTGCCCGTTTGCTGCGGATGTTATCGTCCACAGTGAAAATATGTCGACGAAAAATGAACTGAAACGGGCACTTTACTTCAATAAATAAAAAATGAAGTAGTTCTCAAATGGGCCGTTATAAAAAAAATGAGGATGATAAAAAAGTGTATGTACAATAAAATCCTCGGTAGCACTCATTGTTAGCGCAACTTGTGCACTAGCGCTTTTTGCAAGCAAGTCTTCTTATTTGATATGTTTTCATCTGTACTGATTTAACTCAAGAGTTTAATATGCAAACACGATCAGTTTCAGCAACTCTAAATCCTGTCGTAGACTTTATCTTTCATATTTAAAATCACAATATTTTATATTTTTTTTACAAGTCTTTATATACAGGGTGTCCCAAAATTGGCGCATTCGGAGTACTGGACGTGATACTTTGTGCTAAAAGGAACAACTTTTTCCTTTAGCAAATTTTGATATGACAAGTAATTTTGGCAGGAGAGCTGGTTAAAGTTAACGAATAA